TAGTAACAGCCCTTGCCTCCCCTTATTATTTGCCATGACAAATGGGTGGAATATATTTTGAGAGAAAGTGACAAAAATTATTAGCTATTGCCAAAAACCAAAAATAAAATAAAATAAAGTTATATCACATCGCGTTTGTTTTTTTGATTATGTGCTAATTGATTCCATCCAAGAAAAATTAGTATCTTAATCACATTTGATATTGCGAGTGAAAGATACAAGAATTGAGAATTTGGTAGTGATGGTGGCTTCCTGATTGGGTCTCAAATGACATGACAAAATTATCCCATAATTATATATATTTTTTAATTGATTCTTGTTAGTTTTTAGTAGACAGCTCAAGAAAGTAAGAAACATGGAGGGAGAAACTTCCTTGGCACTTGGAAGGAGGTGGATTGGTGGTGTTCTCCATAACCTATAAGGACCAAGAGTTAGTTTGTAAAAATGTTTTTATTTTATTTGTAGTTCGTTGATATGAATTAGAAAGCGATACGTAATTAGATTGATTAAGTATCTCCCAGTTGCATACAATTGGATGCCCTAATTTTTCTTTTACCAATTCCATTTGCATTGTTGTTTCTCTTTATGTTCATCCTCACGTAATTTATCACATGAAGAGAGATACAGAATGACAAAACAATACAATCAGAATAATTAACTCTCCATACGTATTAGAAGTTTCCATTACCTCTAAAGACATTGTGTAAGCATTGAAGATAGGATGTTTTCTTCCATATAATCGAAATTAAGTGATAAATTTATATATTCTCCAAAGATGCATCAAATATTTGAAAAATCCAAATTAATCTGGATTGGATTGAGCAAGAAACATAAATCTATATCTATCTTCAAAAATATCCATTAGCAAAACAATCAGTAGCGACAAGTCCAGTGACACAGGCTTGACCCCTTATATAGGCCAGGAGGATCCAATCCAGTTTCATTGTCCAATGAGATTTGCTCAACCCAGCACAAAGGCCTCCCAAATTCCAACCCAAAATAAAAATTCTCACCAAACTGTATATCACATTTTCTAATTGGGTAGGTGTGGTCCAATAATGCGTGGCCCATATAGTTTTTTTTGGTTCATTCATTAGGAAGGCACTAATTAAATCCACTTTCTTTCTTTTGGGCTGCTATATGCTTGTCACAAATTAATACAGAGCCCTGACAGACTGTTTTTTGGTTAATAAAATAAAATAAAAATACAAGGGTTTTTTATTATTATTTATTATTACTTAAATAGAAGTGATATTGGGGGAGGGGGAAATCGAATCCAGGACTTCGGATGGAGGCGAGTGCAAAGGTAAATGCTCTGAACCACTTGAACTACATGACCCTTACATCAAAATACAAGTTTTGTGAATGCAAAAAGCAAAAAGTTCACTTGTTGTTTGTGCTTTTTAGGACTGGTTTTGTGCTACCACTCTGCATTGTGTTTTATGATCTCACCTTCACACAATGCAAGAAAAGCATATATATGATCCTGCAATATTGTTTCCATTTAAATATACAAAGTGTTGCCCACAAAGCACAAACACATAAAGTTATTAGGCCTGCATAAAATACATATAAATATATCTATCTCCCACCACAAACAATCCAAAACTTGGGTTACAAGGGGACAGAAAGGCACTCTACAATAGGCTTAGTTGGAAAACTACTTTACCCTGCATCATATTATACTCCGAGTCTAGCCTCTTTTGTGAAGGAACAATAGGGACTTTCCACATCGGAAGAGGAACACGGTTGGTTTGTTGTCACCCTAAAGAAAAGCACAACACAATAATGGAGCTTTCTCTGCACTCAATGCCATAGGCTTCTAGACTTCAACTCCACAAATTTGCATGTTACGAATCATTTCATTTGGGGTGCATAAACTTATTGGTATGTATATAATAATATTATTCGGACTACATTTAGTAACTAATACACGAGATCTATTTTAACAAAAAAACAGTAATAAAATTGACGGCAATGACGAAAGTGAATTACAAGAAAAAGTTCGAGAAATATAGAGTTCAAAAAATCAATTAATGGATTAAAAGTAAGACTCATATAATAGTTCATGGATTGTTGATATAATTGCTCCATTTTTATTGTAAGTTTGAGTACATGTGCTTCTGGTTGCTAATTTGAGAATTTTAATCATTTTTTGGGTTGCGCATATTCTCTCCAGATCAATTCAGCTTGTTGTTGCGTTTGGTCATTGAAGAAGTTATATCCATATTCAGCACCTTAGTTTCTTTGTATTTGCTTTTATTTATCTTATCAATAAAATATTATCGTTCTTTTTATAATAATAAAAAAAAGACACAATTTCCCAAATGGAGCTTAGAATTTGTATGGTTGAATTGTATGCTTCTCGGAAATGAGAAGTCCTTTTTGGATGGCATGGTATGCATGTGGGAAATTTGTTCTTCAGTTATACTTGTTGAAGGTTAAAGTTATGAGAGCATGCATGATATCGTGAGCACACATAATTGAGATGTGAATCATTAAAGGGCAACAAGGGAACATGCATGTCGTTTTGGGGGGGCTCCTACACAACATCATAACGTCCCAGCATTGCTTCATCCTGCATGTGGCCTAATTAATGAAGACCATGAATGATTTTTGTTTATGTACACCACGTATGTCGGGATGAGTGACATACAAACATAACACGTGTTGCAAAATCTAAATTACGATAAAACATGTAATGCAGGTCATGTTAAACTGGACAATACACGTCACTCATCTTGTTACGTGACTAGAAAGTTTCTATCCAAAATTTTCTCCACCATATGAGGCTCGAGCAAGATGAGAAAATAAATTAAGAAAAAAGTTGGGTTTCATAAACTTTTTTTGTCTGAATTTTTCTTTTTAACGTTACGTCATATATTCGCCTTAATAGAGAAGAAAATTAAAAGAAGAATATTAAATTAGCTTAGGCCTTTTTTCTCAAAAAAAAAATCCAAATTAGCTTAAGCCTTAAGACAGGTAGACAGGACCAATGGGCTCCCCCCAACATGTGATAAGGTAAACTTGAACCTTTTCTTTTCTTTTCTTTTCTTTTCTTTTCTTTTCTTTTCTTTCTCTAAATAAATAAATAAAAATGGTTGATTAAGAAAGTGTTAGGCTCACGTGACATTGTGGTTGTAATTTGCGAGTTGTGAGACTGAATCTTGCAAAATTATAGCATGGATTCTCTATCCGTACTGCTTTTCTATAAGCGTGCTCACTATTGACCAACACAGATTCAAATTTGCTTGTCGTTGAACTTTGGTCGTTAAGCACTTCCTTTTGATCATCTGCTTTTTTCAAGAAGATACCAATTTTTGTTGGCAAGTAAAGAATTGATCTCTATGTACTAAACAATATCACTTTTGACATAAATTAGATTCTGAATTGACATCCTACTGTGTGTTTTGATGCCCTATTTAGAGATCGTATGTTTAAAAAAAATCAATCAAATTGAAAATTGTTTAGTCGTCAAAATGTTAGCAAAATGGGCAAACTAATCAAATAACGGTGTGCTTGATTATGGGTTTAACATCGATAAACTTAAAATCAACAATGTGTTCCAGTTTGGACCTTAACTCGAACCAAACCGCACCACACCCACCCACCCATACAATTCCTTTACATGGTCTAAAAATGAGTAATTGTTTCATTGCAAATCAATCCACTGTTGCAAAACATTCCATGCCATCCCATCTCATGTCATGGCTAAATTTATTCTTGTCATAATTGCTAGATATTTGCGAGTTATATGCTCACGAGCATTAACTTTTCAAATGAATGCTCTCACGTAAATTGCATACAAACCTCGCATACTCCAAGAATTGAAAAGGTCTAATAATAATGTCTCCCTCTATCAATAGGGTCTCGTTTAATAACCATTTCAATTTTAGTTTATAATTTTCATTTTTTATGCTATAGTATAGAGGAAAAAGAGGGAGAATGGAAGTGAGAATGGGAGTGGAGATGAGATTGAGAGGGAAAATGAGAGGAGATGATGGGAGGGAGGAGTAACAAAAACTAAAACTAAAAACGGAAATCTATTTCAAATTGTTTTCCCCTTCAAGATTTTGTTTTCACTTTTGTTACTCATCACTCTTATCATCTCGCTCAATCTCATTCTCACTCTCATTTTTCTCTAACTAAAATTGAAATGATTATTAAACGAGCCCTCAATTAACGATCTCATATTCAAGTTTATATGGCATTTTGACAGTGTGTATTAGACTATCATTTGTATTTATTAAAAAAAAAAAAAACAGTATCCCGAAAAAGATGAGTAGGAAATGTTGCAAAAGTGATAAAACTCGTGGACAAGGGTCAGAGCACTAGCGTCTGGTTTCTACCTTTTTCGCTCGTTTAGGGTGGCGCTGGGGGCGCACGCATGACGCAGACACACACAATGGCCCACGCCCACACTCACAGGGCCAGCCGGGCTACATTAATTACTATAATAATAATATTAATAATTTTCATTCTATTATTGTTATTATTATTTTTATTATTATTGTTATTATTGCAGCTTAAGCCCTCACCACCAGTTTTGCAATTTGCCATTGCCCAAATCTCAATGTACCCAAGACCCCCCCAGTATCAAGCAAACAGATACTCATTCTCTTTTTTGTATTTATTTATTTAATTTAATATTTGTTTTATAGCAACAAATCACAGTTTGCCAATTTTACCATTTTGGACATCATAGTTTCAATTTTATTATACATTTTAAAGTTCGAGTAATCTAGAAACATGTACAAATTCGGTCAAATTCAGTCCAATTTTTAGCATGAGATTTGACAGAACAACAAAATTACAAGGATTTTAACAAAGTTTTTAAAGCGTTCTTAAATTGTTCAAATTTAAACTTATATATAGATAAAATTTAGAAAATTAAAACTAGGGTGACTAAAGTGATGCATAGACGAAAATGACTTTTGCCTTTGTTTTACACGAAAAGACCCAAAAATGAAAGGGAATGGGGTTTTGTTTTGTAGGTAATAGGTATAAACTTTACAAGTCATTCGGACCCAAAAGAAAACACACCCTTGCAAATCGCCACTATCACACACACCCTTCCTTGGCCTCTCTCCTTCATTAACGGTCAGCTCCTCAACCTCTCTCTCTCTCTCTCTCTCTCTCTCTCTCTCTCTCTCTGTGTTCAGTGTACCAACCAGAGCCCATAAGCTATTGCCATTTTTCCATGTGGAGGTTCTCTGGGATTGAATTCACTGAAGAACGAGATCTTCAGCTTGTTGCTTATTGGGTTGGCTGTGATTGTTCAGTGGGGCTAGCTTGGCACTTGGCAGAGGCTCTCTGATCCAAATTCTTGTTCTATTTATTTATTTATCGATTGGGAATCGGAGATGCTTACTTGTATACCCTGCTCCAAGCAGCTCAATAATGGATCTCTCCACCGCCAACAAGACGAAGACGATGCCGTGGCTGGGACTCCTAGAACCAAGCAAGCCATCAAAGCTCTCACTGCTCAGGTAATCTCGTAACTCATAAGTTTTTAAAACTTCTGTTTGGTTTCACAGAAAATGTAGAGAGAAAAAAAAAAAGGATTTCAATATTGCTTTGTTGAGCCTAATTGACATTTGGGTGATGAGGTAATTTTTTCTCTAATTCTCCCTTCATTTTCTCAGGAACCAAACAGAGAGTAATGTTTGTGTTCTGTTCTCAATCTTTGTAAATAAAACAGTGGAAGTGTAAAAGATTTAATTCAGCTGAAACTTCACAGTTTTGTGAACAAAACAATGGAATAAATAAGAACCAGATTTTATTTTTCCTGCATTTTCTAAGAACTAGTTATCTTTTTCAGATCAAGGACATGGCATTGAAGGCCTCGGGAGCCTACAAAAACTGCAAGCCATGTTCACGGTCCTGCAATGACAACCGGAACCGGAACTATGCTGAATCCGATACCAACTCGGAGTCGGCGAGGTTCCACTACTCGTACCGGAGAACAATGGGGAGCTCGAATTCGACACCCAGGCTATGGGGGAAGGAGATGGACAATAGACTTAAAGCCCTATCCAGCGGGGAAGGGACGCCGGCGTCAGTGAGTGGACGGACGGAGTCTATTGTTTTAATGGAGGAAGATGAGCCTAAAGAATGGGTGGCACAAGTGGAGCCTGGTGTGATCATCACTTTTGTTTCTTTGCCCCAAGGAGGAAATGATCTCAAGCGTATTCGGTTCAGGTACTTTCTCTTGTTTGAAGTTTGATATGATGGTGAAGATTCTGATTTTGGTGGAGTGTGAATGTGAATGTGTGACCACATGCTTTTGCTATGGTGCTGCCGTCTGAACCACTGTATCTTTTTGTCCTTTGTGTTTTGATCTTTTTCTGTTTGTTCTTGATCTGGAAGTATAGCTTCTGATTCTTTGAATGTGACTACTTGTTTTTAGTATGGGAATGTTGATTGGGGTTGGTCTATCGTCACATTGTCCTTCGTAGTTGGACTTTTAACAATATAATGAGAGTGTGGGATTGTAGCAGGTAAGTTGCATGTGAACTGTCATTTCTCACACTCATTTGTGTGGTAGGTGGCCCTAGATTAAGAACCAGCTGATACTCTTCAAAGGCTTGAGCTGTCAAAGAGTTTTATTTTGTTTTTAGGATCTTAACATTCTACTATATTCCCAAGACCTGACGTCCTCATCATCGGCCCACCCTGTTGACACTTATCTGGTGGTACTCTCTCCTTTCATGGGTAGCTTTACTCATGGTGTATTCAATGACTTAACATCACGCCAAACATAATACCAGTGTATATTAATCCATTCTATGAGATCGTTCCGTGCTAACTCGAGTGTTGGATGTGGTGTCAAGGAGAGAAAGACTTCATTGATGAGACTTTAGAATTGTAACACACTTTGTATGGGTCTTAAATATGGGGGAGGCCTACATCTCTATAGCTTTGTTTAATTTCCATTAAGTTTTGCTAGGTGATTACAAAGTGGTTAAAAGCAACTCATATGAATATCTCGCCTTTATAAAGAAATAGACGTACAGTAGCTCCACGCTATGTGAACTTATGTCCTGTACAGATATACTATTAACTGTTTGTTAGGTCACAAGTAAGAGTTCTAAATCAGCAAAAGAGTAGTCCCAGTCTTGAATCAATGTCCTCTCATTATATGTTTTATGTTAGTCTTGTTCCGCAGTCATAATCAGCAGGATTTGGTGCTTATCCCAAAGTTCTGTTTGCTTGAGTGAACTCTTATTCACCCTGTGATATATGCCCTACTTGTTTATCTTGTTCTTGTTGATCATGTTGTGAATATACTAAATCTACTAATCACTGTCTTGTAAATTTGATCAGTCGTGAAATGTTTAACAAATGGCAAGCTCAAAGGTGGTGGGCAGAAAATTATGACAAGGTCATGGAACTGTACAATGTCCAAAGGTTCAATCACCAAGCAGTCCCACTTCCAACTCCACCTAGATCTGAAGACGAGGTTAGCTCATCCCCAATGTAATTATGCAAATATTTTCTTGTTGTTGGTAACCTAAGGGAAGTAAAGGTCAAATAAATTTTATTTATCAAGTATTCATTATTGATTCTAGAAGGATCAACCAGGGAACTTCATCTGTCGTAATTTGGGCATGAGGTTGAGACATTTTTTATCACCAGCCAAGGTTGTAATATGGAACATTTTGTTATCTGTTGTATTTCAGATCAATTTAGTTATAATATGTTGGCTACCTCCATCCCTTTGCTTCTCACTAAGTTACTTTGATTCATGAATTACTTTGCTAACTTAACAACATCAACTTTGGTGATCAATTTTGTATGATTGGAATCACATTCTAGCATTGATGATGTACATTTCTAATGTTTAAAAGTACTTTTTTTTCTTCCCCCTCTTCCAGAGCTCAAAGGTTGAATCTGCTAGGGACAGTCCTGTGACTCCCCCCTTGAGCAAAGAGTGCTTGCCGCGCAACTTCCACAGACCAATGGGAATGGGGCACTCTTCATCCGATTCACTTGACCACCATCCAATGCAATCCCGTCCTTACTGTGACACCAGTGGTCTAGCTTCAACACCTAAACTTTCCAGCATAAGTGGGGTGAATGAATCATCATCAATAGATGGTTCTGTAAGGACTAGTTCAGAGGCAGATCGCTCAGGAGAGCTTTCAGTTAGCAACGCTAGTGATATGGAGACTGAGTGGGTTGAACAGGATGAACCAGGAGTGTACATCACTATAAGAGCATTGCCAGGTGGCACTAGGGAGCTTAGACGTGTCCGGTTCAGGTAACTAGGTTTCTATATTGTGAATAGTTAAGTTTTGAGTTGATTATTGCCAAGTTTTATTTTGTACTCCCTTGCTTGTGGCATTAGTGATTGTTTTGTTCTCCACTGCTGTCTGAAATAGTGAGAACATAGACCGGGTCAGTACATTTGGTAGTTTTCTTTTTTACATTCCGGTGAAGTGTGGATTGTGACACCATTTCCTATGGATGGTATCACATGCAAACCAAAGCCTTCCTGTTCTTTTACTGTTTTTTTTTTTGTTTGACTTGCAAAGTTGGACCTTAATTCCACAATGAAGTGAGGCTTTTCAAGTGTACCAATTTATCTTTTGCACTGGTCAAATTGGCTTGAATATGAAACTTATTTTCTGTATCTTTTGCTTATGCAGCCGGGAAAAGTTTGGCGAAATGCATGCGAGATTGTGGTGGGAAGAGAATAGGGCAAGGATTCAAGAGCAGTACTTATGACTTGGAAGTTAGCACATCTTTCAGATGGTGGTGGCTCATGGAAATTGCATTTCCTCTTGAAAATTACATTAAACAGCTGTATGTTCTTAGGCTCAATCTCCTCAACAAAGCTTTCATTTATCGACTGTGCCCTGGTTATTAACTGAGGTGAAATATATCTCTGTGAATTCTAGAATTTCTTTTTTCAATTTCGGGTGGATAATGTTGTTGGTTTCATGGGAATTTGGTAAATGGGTGCATAAAATGGGGATAATGTGAAATGTTTACAAGAATGAAATTAGATCTATAATGGACATATACTTTTCATTTTACTCAAAATGTAGACTGCTCTCAGTTTCTTAATCTGAAATGCAATGTTCTTGGTTGGTAAAAAGTTTTCATATTTTGTGCTCCTATCAACAGGCTATTATATTTGCTTGAAATTAGTGTGTGGCTTTCTTGAAGAGTTGTCATTCACTTTCCCCCTCCTAAAAGCAAAATGAAGTTTCTTCCTTTATCACCCTCTAAGCATCATAAATTGATGGGTTTATAATTCCATAAACATGTAGATAAATAAATTGATTTTAGGCCAGATAAATAAATAAACATTAGTGCAAACAGAAAGGCCGAATGCTCATTTTAGTCCTGGGACTTTCACCTCCCAAGCGATGGATTTCATTCAATCAATAGGAAGGATAGCAACATAGCGTCGACATATAAACTGTGGCCTCGTTATAATCTTATAATCTTCCCGGAGAAAACCACATGGGACAAAACCGGGGTAGTCTTTAAAGTTCCTGGGAATTTCTCAAATTCTGTTTTAAAATTTGCCAAACATGTTACTCTGACCATATGGGACTTTCAAATTCCACATACCCCAAATCCCACCTAAAAGTCCCTCAAAAATTCTGGCAAAAAAAAAAAAAAACACGTGCGAGATGTGACGACCCTGGTCTAGCAATATACCAATCACACAGCGACAGATGTCCGTCTGTTCATATAAATTCATTCATTCTTTTCTTACTTGATTTCCCCTCCAGTCTGAAATTTCGAATTTCGTTGCTGCCATGGACCCAAACTAAGGCGGAGAGAAGAAACGGAAAAGAAAGAGAAATAGCCTGAAAGAAATGGCAGGGGCTCTGGCTGTGGTACCATGGGAGCAGTGGCGGAGTGCCATTAGAATTTAGAAAGAGAGAGAGAGAGAGCATTGGGAGGTCCACTTCCTCCTCTGGCTACCTCCACTCCACCACGTGTCCTGATCTCGTGCCTCTGGATCCAAGTACAAAAAGCGATGGCCATTTGAAAGATGTATCTCGATTCTCTTCCAACTCAGACGTTGTCCTCACCGTCTGTTTCACTGGCAAGATTCTGGTGAGTCTACGATGTCTATCTCAAGATTACCTTCTCATCTTGTTGATTTAATTTGCTCTTCGAAATTTTCTTTCAACTGTTTATTTGCGTTTGGTTGTTGTTGCTGAGAAAACCAAGGGAAAGCGAATCGAACTAGTAGTACTGTTGACGCTCAAAAATGGTTCAACACTTTTTAGCCCAACTTAGTGATGAGGTATGATGGATGATGGGTGAAGGTGATGACCTTCAGCATGTATGTGAAGATTTGGGCAAGCGATAAATATACAAAAGACAAGATATACGTGGTTCACCCTTAATGAATGAGCTATGTCCACGGAGAAGTATATTCTCATTATTATAACAATGTGTATTTACATTTGTACAAGGAGCTGCGCCCAAATATAAAGAGAGAAAAGGAGAAGCCCATGACTCAATATAAAGCCCAGCCTAGGGGGATCCATTCCTAAGTGAGGAGTGGTCTTCTTTTATAGGTGAGAGGGAATCTTCACTTCTTGCAATATTTCAATGTGGGACTCTTTGCCTTGCTTAGAATTGCTTCTAGTTGCTTGGTTAAATATGGTATAAACAGAAGCCCCCCAAGTTCTCGAGTAAGGAGGTACTTCTTGGTTGGGGACTTGTAATTTTCAGTGCATTGACCGAGCAACACCTTAGTCTTCTTCCAAGCCGTATAGTGTGGTGTGGATGGTGCTGAATGCATCGCTCGCGTCAAAATGATGATGACGGGGTGCCGAAGGCTTCGCTTCTGCCTAATGATGACAGGGTGTCGAAGGCTTTGCTTCTGCCTAATGATGACAGGGTGCCTGATCGGTGCATAATTACATATCATTTTGTATCCTTCCAACTTATGATTTGGTTATGTTTTTGAGTTAAACTTGTGCTTTTAATAAGTTTTGTGTTTGTTTCAGTGTAATAAGCTTGAGACTCATTAAATGCATTTTGGAGATAAGTTAGCTCATCGGTGTCTGCAGATCAGTCAACTTCACGAATTGGACTGTACTTGCTCAAGAAGAACCAGATGATGAGCCATACATCATTGGAAAGATGCGGAAGTCTAGTTTCTGGAGAATTTTACGGTTCATGATTCCAAGTCTTCTATAGAAAGTTATACAAGTTTTGGCAACTTAAGGTCAAATTCGGCAGCATCTGCGTTACTGGGCCGAATATCACATTTGAAGGGCTTTCTGATTTTGCCTTGAGCTGGGCTGCATATGCTTGGAAAGATAATTCAAAGGGTTTGAAGATCCAGATTTTTGCAGATTTTTTAGGAGGGAAGATCAAGCCCAAAAGAAGCCCACAAGCTGACTGCAATGAAGTCAATTCCAGTCAATTTTCGGCAGTCAACTTGCAAGGCCCAAAACGTACACTTGTACTACTCATATGGGAATACATTCTTCATAAAAGTTGTTCCCATGGGTGTCTATTATGACATATCCAAATTTGAGCCCCATTGGATACATATTGAAACCTCAGGCCTTCCTACACCAAGCCTGGTTCAGAAGAATCATTTTTTCCAGCAACCAAAAGAAAACCCACATG